AGTTACATTGTGTTGTTATATATATTGGTAACCCAATATATATATTGGGTTACCAATTGTAATAGTTCGCTCTTGTTGTATGTGCTTATACATGTGTGAGTAAGTGTTGAACAAACGAATGAGTTCGAGGTAATTTTCTTTACACGTTATGTGTGAAAACAATAATGATTCGTGGTAACTATAGGTGCGCGAAAAATGCTTATCAATTAAATAATTTTGGGGAATATTACCTGAGGCTGTCAGAGCAAAAGTGGTGTAACCCACATTTAATTTTTTTACACACACCTACCAATCATTTTACACCAATTTTGCGCTGATAACCTCAATTACATTCCACATACAAGCAGGCCAATTCAGATTTAATTACGTAATTTGGAAATGCGTTATGAAATACTTGATTTTATTTTGCCTAAATATATGTATTTTATTTTCGTAGCATCATAGACAGTACGTGTCATCAAATTCTTTAAGAAGTGTTTGCAGGTCTTTTCACGTCTTATACGGGAGTGTAAACTTTCCCGAACCAGCGACAAAATGCGTTGGCAACCTCCTAGGGTAAGCGAGCTTTATATTTAAGCGTCATTCAAAACTTCAGAAACGATTTGTTCTGTCAGCAAGCCTCTTGGTTTAATGGTAGTTATCAAGAGTAATTAATTACTTAAACATTTGATTTAAATGATTATTTAATAATAAAGGACAATTTAATTATACAAAATAACAAGTAGATACGCAAGATTACAGTGACCAATCGCCTTACTACCGGGTTGTTTAAATGACGCTTTTGTAAGTAGTCATTAGTTGACATACTAGATCTAAAACTAGTCAAAAATCATTTTTATTAATTTTTATACTTTTGCGTGCTGCTACCACTGTACAATTGAAAAAATAGCTTGCTATAATATCCTAATGCCCCTATTTCAAATAAATAATTAAAAGCATACATAACATACCTGACTTGCTCATACTTCTTGTAACTCGCTTTTCAAAAATGATATGTTCTTTTTGTTTTGTTTCGGTCGGTTTAGTTTTCTTTGGCTTCTCTGGTTCAATGTTTTCCGGGACATTTATTTCACAAACATCATCTAATAACATAATATAATATGTAATTATTCTTGTTCCCTTTTATTAAAATAAACATTGTCTTATAGCACAATATAATACCATAGTATAATAAGACAAGGTGGTAACTCCACATAAACGTAGCAGTGCGGCTTATATGTGTGTGAGCCCGAAAAATAAAAAAATACTATTCTTATTCCCATTTCAAACACATAATTCAGACAATGACATTGTCTTGCAATACAATATTGATAATAAAATTGATAATTAGAAGTATATAAGACAAATATGTCAAAAGGATCTATGGCTTAGCTACTACGGGCTACCAATCAAGTAATAAAACTAATAAGGACTATGTAACATTGCCCGCGCAGATCTTCTACAACAGCCCGTAATAATTGAAAACACGTTAAAAAATTATCAAAGAAAATATGAAAAAACTTATTTAAACAAATATATTATTTTTGTAATCTTTGGGAAGTGTTCAGTGTTCTGTTGCTCTGTTACTTAGTTCAGGGAATTCTCTAGTTTGCGATCAGGCTATTGATGTGGTCGTCTGGTACATTATTGCGTTACATTAATTACGAACATAATATACTCTCGGACACATTTTTTGTATTTATGCATTAGTATAGAATTAATACAGTGACTGATTTAAGTGAATCTATAATACTTCCATTTAATTTTGGAAATAAATAAAAGTAAAAAGTAAAAGTAAAAACGTATGATTATTAATAATATTATTATCATACGTTTATTTGCTTAAAACATGGCATAACAGGAGATGTAACAAGAGACAGTGTTAGTATAAACATGTTCCGCATATATTTAATAGCATGCAAATGTCTGATTATACAATGTCAACTGACTACTATTGGCCGAGCGCCTTTGATTTGTGCAGAAAAATCGACACTTCTCCGAAGTGAGGCAAGTAGTCACGAGCGACTGAGTGTTGTGACAAGACATGTCAAACGAGCTCTATACACGTCAGCGATCGCCTTCACTCCGTCAGCTAGGCGAGTGACACCGAACGATGGCATGGCAAGGCAAGGCAAATAGTTTAATGTAAATTAAATATAAAATTATTTAACAATAAACCTAATGATGGAATGGCATTATCATGTAATCTTAGTTACATTCAAAGTTATGTTAAAATTTGACTCTTCAAAATGAAGCGAATAAATGAAGATGGTCTTAGATTCAATTTTATACTCGGCACTATTTTACGGTGGTTTGATTTCCAATCATTCTGTTTTCTTTTTTGATTTGTAGGTAAACTTGAAATAGTAAAACTAATAATAATAATAAAATAATAAAAACCTCGTAGTGAATTATTTTAATAATAGAATATCGATAATATGTACGCTTCCAAGAACAACACTATCTCAAAATAATCGTTAACAACAATTATCAAAATATAAAACAAACAGGCAATCTGAAGAAACCAAGCAAAATTTGGCAAGATTTATGAATAAACTACTTAAATAAGTCTAATCACGTGAGATATTTGGGCTTTTGAGTGATTTATAGACAGAAAAATAACACGTGCCTGTACAATGTTACATTCGGTCGATTTTCGCTTTTTCAAATGCCACAACCAATAATGATGCAGCAACGAATTGTCATTAATACTTAATTGTTCTCACTGTCAATATTTTTGTCCATTTTATTACAATACATGCGAATAATTCAATAAAATACTTGGAAAAACATTTGTTTTGACATTTGTTGTACTTCCCTTTGACAACCGTATCATGTACCTCATGTACTGCGAAATGGACACGGTTGGGTTTTAAGATGACGTTACGTGTTTTCGATTCCCGTGCTTGACACAGACTAATGTAATGCTATCTCTTTTGGTTAAAGACGGCACGCAATAGTTAAACTAAGACAATAACATGTTTATGTTTTCCACGTCGAAATGCATCGTATACATATAACGTCTGATTTATATATGTCAACATAACATGTATTTTTTTTTCGTTTCCATAGTCTAAGCATTACTGCTTGGCGGCAGAAATAGGTGGCAGTACGTTCCGAGGCGAACTCTTTGACAAGGAGATCTACTGCTACTAAATGTATTCATATCATGTGTCCGGGAGTGTATAAATACGATTTAGCCGGAGTTTTGTAGAACGGGCGTAAGCGACAATTCGGAAAATTTTTGAGGGGAGCATGTTTAAAGTTAAAATAATTTTAGAATTATATTGCTTAATTTTAATTTCTTTTAAGTACGGACAACGCTGACATTGACGTCAAAAGGTTTCAGAGTTCAAAATAATTTGGTAATTTATCAGCCAAAAGAAATATATAACTCAACTTGGTATGATGATGGATGATCTGAAGAGTCGATTGGTGCAAGACTTGGCTGAGAATCGAAACGGCTAGTGAGTATTATGTAATTTTTACCTGCAATAACCAAATGGTCTTCGTCATCGCTGGATAGGTCGTCGGTGGTAATGTTATTTGTAGGAACAGTCTTTACTTCCTTTTTCTTCTTATCTGCATCTGCAGCTTTTTCATTTTCTTTTAAGATTTTAATTTTTTCTGATGTCCTGAAAATGGAAACATATAATATTTGACTCGTGCCCAGCAGTGAGACGTATAAATGAGTTGATGATGATGATGATAATATTTAAATGTTGTGTAGTATACAGCGTGATTTTTAACTAGGACAGTAGGTATGGGGAAATCCGAAACCATACCAAGGAAACTGTCTTAGGTTTTTTCGTGAAAACTAATTTGACATAGTAAATTTTTTAATCAAGCGTGAGTTGTGAATAAAAATTAATAATATTGATAAATTCTTTTTAATTTGAAAATATATTGTGACTTGCTGTTTTTGTGGGCCATTAGTGGTCCACGTGTCTTGCTGGTTATCAGCCTCTCTTAGCCTGCTGCACTCGAATTTTTTGAATGGCCACGGACCACGTGGGACTGGGAGTGTTAGGGCCTATGCACACGGCGTATTTTATACGCGCCGATGCGATGACGCGAATATACGCGCCGAAGGCGCGCTGTAATCGCGCATATGTATGGCGCACTTTGATAAAAGATAGTTTCAATTTTTGTTTCGTTTCTTAATTTCAGTTAGTTTTTTGAAATGATGCAACTACATGAAATTCTAAGTGTAAACTCCAGTGGAGTATATAAGCTTCTTGCTTGGAACGCGATGTTTGCGCGCGTGTGAATCATCACTACAGTGCGTCTGCGGCACGTACACGTGCAGATGACGCGCGTTTACGGCGCGAATACAATACGCCGTGTGCACAGGCTCTTAGGCTACAAACTGGACAACAGCGGGCGGGAGCGCGGGGACAACAGCGATGAGGGTGGCGACTTGCGCTTCTTGATTAAAGTGCCTAAGTTTTGTACATTCTGCAATTCTGCTGTTCTCGACGCCATTGGCGCGGGCGGCGGTAGACGAGAGTCCCGCTCCAGTTCGTTCAATGTTCGTTCGAATAGTTATAGTGACGTCTTGTTGCTTATTTAAGATATCGTCGGACAAAAAATTTCAGCAGTTTTAGAAATACTTTTTTTTTTTTTTTTATACCTGACAGGCAAATGACTCCACTCCACCTGATGTTAAGTGGTATCCAAACGCGAAGGAACCAATATGGAACAGCAAACATATAGACCATTAATAATCTCAGTACAGGGTACTAAAAAAACCGACCTCAAAAGTACGTGGAATTACGTCTATTTGCTAAGTTTCATTGAAATATCCCCTAGTTTGCCACTATACAGGACTTGATACTGGAGATAATAAAAATAGGTTCTCACTACGACACTACTCAAAGTATAGCGAGGGAAAAACGCCTTGAATTGAAATAGCAAAATCAACTAAATAATTGCTACAAGTAATTGCTCCTAAATTAAAGTTAGGCGCTATTTATAAAAATGAATCTTCATGCGTCAACAGCCACCCTTAGAGGTGGATGATTTCCTTCAAAATGAAATGGGACCACTATGGAAGTACCCCCTTTCCAATAAAAAAAGAATCATGAAAATCGGTTCACAAATACCGGAGTTATCGCGTAACATACATACAAAAAAAACAACACAGTCGAATTGAGAACCTCCTCCTTTTTTGAAGTCGGTTAAAGACAGGGATTATTAATCACTATAAAGAGAAGAACTGAGATACTACTAGTTCATAATTAGAGTGTGGTTCCTATTCTGGTTTGATATTTGCAAAAATATAGTCGAACGTTTCCACGGTCATTCTAGCGTTATCATAGAACTATTCGGATTTCGTCTTTGGGCTTCGCTTGTTTGTAGTACAGGTTCACATCTTCTTTTTCGTATAATAACTCATACTGATTGAAAGAATTTGGTGCTATAACGTGGTTACATCTCGTTACGTCACTTTACCGCCGCAAACTAAACGGGAACAGGCCCCTTTTATTGCCGCCGTCGTCGCCACCGCGCAGTCCGTCGTCCAGTGTGTGGCCTTAATGTCGCTCATATGTACATTGTAGATACCGAAATGACGGACGCTTCACTTTATCATTGACTTATTGTATGGCCTTGGACGTCTCGGTTGCAGTTAGTTGAAAGTTAGGGGTGAGTTGACACATAATTGCGAGTAAGTTAGAATGAATGTTAATGGGACCGATTGCGGCTACGTAATTACGTCAAGTAAAAATATATTGAATTAAAATAAATTGGTTGCGTCGAAAGCATGCCGCAAGCAGCTCAAAAAAGACCTTGTACGTAAACCACTTATCAAGACCGCCAAAGAAAAGACTTGCAAATGATGCAATTATTTTCTTTCGTTTCTTATCAAATACATATTATTCAACATAAAGTGCTGTACTTACGATACAAAAGCAGACTCTACTAAATGTCTAAACGCTTTGTACGTCCTTGTCTGTGCCGGTTCTCTGTTGTTCGAGAACTCGCTTCCAAACACGAATACATTCACTTTTTCGCCTTCTACAATAGAAAAACATTAGGTATCTTGTACAACTGACGCAGTCTCGCATAGGCGAGTTTTGCGTGAGCAAAAAGGTAAATGTTCGAGATCAGTGTTTAATAATACCACACACAGAATCTTCGATATTTTAAGTGTAAGTGTAAGGCACTCGTCGGCAGGAATCTATAAGTGACAGGCATTTATATCGACATTATCTTGTTCTGTTCTTCGCTACATTATTCAGGTTAGCATACCAAAGTATCACTCAAGTTACTGACCTAGCAAGGGTTAAATAAGTCGGTGCAGTGTAAGGCCATCCACTTACCTGCCCCAATGACTTCGCAGACTGATACCGGTATGGCCCAATGTAGGTCTGTCTCAACCATACATTTGAGTGCGTTCTCACTGGCTATGTACATAGCTCCGTTGTCATATGCATATTGCGCCAGTTCTCTGTGCACCTCTGTTTTTGGTAGAATTGACATTGATTGCTCATCTGCAATTTGTATTTTAAATTGTTATTGACAGGTCACACACGGTGCATTAGTATACAAATACTTTTTACTTCATGGCGGCACATCACATGGCTACTGGACGTTTGATGTACTTGGAAAAATATTTGACGTACAGACAAACATGTAAACATTGACAAATATGACCGTCTACACATGGAGATAAAAAAGGAGCAAAAATAATGAATATGACGGTATTTCCCTGTTCGGCTCCTTTGATGTGCGTCAAGAAACCGACAAGTTTAGTGTTTGCCAAATAGGCAAATAAGGCAAGTACTTTGTCACATACATGATAACTACACACGGTCATTGTTGGCCAAATATATTAAATACGCAAATATAAATAGCTACGTGAAGTGCTACCATCACACACAAAAATTAAATATAGAAAAGAAAAAACAAAACACAGGAATCAATAGGGGGCTTTATTGTAGCTCACTGCAGCTACCAATGTTATCAGACAATCATACGATAATACCACATCTATTGTCCATTTATGCAACATGCATTCAATGATTTTTCCGCATGTTTTTCGACTCGAAAATTTAAAACTTCAACAATCAATAATTTTTTGCTCTCCATAAATAAAATAGAAAAATTTTGAATAAACCAAAACACATTCACTGAATTTCTTATAGCCATGCTCTAACTGTCTTAACTGGTTAAATTCCATATCAAAATATCGGGAAAGAAAGGCTGTAAAAATCAATTGTATGAAACAAGAGATGTTTATTAATTGCGTTAAATTTTCAAGTTAATTCTGCCTGTCAATCTAAAATTTACATATTCGCCTAAAAAGATGAAGTTATAAACATAAAAAGTCATGAACTAAAACGTTTAGAAATTGGTTGCTTTTCACTTGTTTTGTATACTTGTAGTTAGACATTTACGCCCTTTCTTCCCCGAAGTATCAATATAATTAACACCTTATTCATTTGGGTATCACGAACAGCGAGCAGCGTGTATTGAGGAGGAAACAGCTGCGCATATCCTACTACACTATTCAGGCGTGACCAATTATATGGCGAAATACCTTGAACTGCCGAGGTTGTTACCCGAAGTTTTCAGCAAACCAAAGAGAAAGCTCGGAGAAGAAGTCGGACCTTGCACCCACCATATGCAAAATAAGCGGTTCGACGTCGAGTTGTGGAAACCAGCCCATTACCCCATTTACCCTGACACACTCAGTGTCGAACATGTGCCTACCCAATCAAAATAATTACCAAGTACGTATGCTTCACAGACAAAAAAATACCACTTGCAAAGAATTTAGGTCTGTTTATTTCACTTTGTTAACTTACTTGGCAGTATGAATCTAACAGGATGCTTTGTGCAAGGTTCAGGTACAGGACACGGAGTAAGTATGGTGCACTTCTTCTGTAAGTCAGGGTATTCGATGTTCGGCAATTGTGATATATCAACCTGGTTAAAAATAAGATTAACTTTGATTGATGTCTAATAAGACTTCAAACCACAGAACAATACACACAATAGAAGTGCTTAGTGGACGTGGTACTTGGTAAGCGACGCTAAGACCCTTCCATTGTTGTTTTCTAACGTGCTTGAAACTATAATATTTTACGTTGGGGTTGCTCACCTTGATAAGAGTCTTTCGAAAAACAATTTCACATCCCTTCTGATTGTTGTCGAATGGAATCAGAGCTGCCATTTCATATCGTTTAGGGAATGCTGCCATCTCGTTAGCTCTCATTTTAAACTCTGCTTCATATACCATCTCTATTGTGGGTTTGGGCCTTAAAGCACGAACACAGTGGTTACTGGTCCACAGAGATTTTGCCCATTCTTTGAATTCTTTTTGTTCTTTTTCATAAATTTCTTTGAAATCCTGCAATTAATATGATGCAGATAATATGGTTAGTGTTGAAATTTATTTTCACAAAAATTGAAATTTGCATTTTGAGGTCATCATTATTTATTAATTATTAATAAATAGAATTTATCATGTTTTTTTTTTATTGTGGGTGAAGGTACATACATAATCTTAGTGAACATGTTATTTTTCAAGCAAATCTAAGTCTGTAAACTAGTAAGTAATGGCAACAATAATGTTATATTACTTTAAAAATTTATGAAGTTACATACCTCAAATACCTTTAAATCCAATCGACTTGGATTATAATACACAGGGTGAACGCATAAGACATTTGGGTTCCTAACGCTCAGCATTTTCAGCATTTGGAAATGTTGTTGCGCTGTCAGGGCTGATAACTTTGGACATGGTGGTAAGGAATGCATTCCTGGTATGTAGTGCTTTTGCTTGAAATTCTGAAACAACATAATACTTACCTAGTCTTTAAAGTTATCTTGGCATATAAACAGGTTTACTAATGGCTAAATTGCAGTGGCAACTCTTCTGTAAGATTGTGTCACAAACAACATTAAAATCAAGGTGTGACACATGACATTGTAGCAATTTTTTTTAATGCACACACTCAACATTGCCCCGCACTAGGGAAGCCCTGTGTCGTGGGTGCCATGGACACACATAGACAACCACAAATTACACTCAAACTCACAAGAGAAATAAATGTAGACCATACAAATATGTTTCCCGTCCCGGGAATCGAACCCAGGACCTCTGCGTGGCAGTCCGGTAACCATTCGGCCACGGAGGCAGTTATATAATAGAATTATACTCCTGTTTATGTAATTTGGCATAGTCATTATTTTGCTTTAATGTGTGAGGTGCTTATGTGAGAAGTAGAGCGAGGAATCAACAGAGAAAATAATCCATATAGGGTTCAATCCATTCTACAGAAAAAGTGAACAAACAGATAACTTACCCGACCAAAGACAATTATGTGATGGTCAGTTGTACTGCTAATTAGAAATCCGTTAAATAATTGAATGAATCGATTTGTGTCAAAAATTCCAAAACGTGTAAAACGTATCAGTTTAATTTATTAAATCGATAAATTAATTGTTAGAGGTTCAAAATAAGAAGTGGTCAATTGACTTGCAAATCGTGTGTTTGTGGCACCTCTTGCGGTAATTCGCGACAAGCATTTGAGTGGTAAAGGATCAGAGGTGAGTGAGACATTCGTCATTTCAATTGAAACATTGTTATTGGAGTTTGGTTGTAAAAAGCGTGTTAGCTTGCAAATAAATGTGGTGTACTTAAACTTGGTTTATCTTACATGATCTATAAAAGTACCTTGGGTACCTTGTTTGTGATAGAAATTTCCGATTACTAAACTATAAACAAATGAATTTTTTGTACTGCACTACGTAACTATAGACTATTCATACTTCTACATTTGAAAAATAACCTCACCTTCGATTTAATATTTTTCAAATAATATGATTTTCAGATGTTATTAAAATTAATACCTATTGTTACAAAAAGTGATGAGATATCAAGTCAAAATCTCCAAAATATACATGAGTGTTATTTATTCCATTTATTGAATGATTGCTTTAGAATTACAATCCAACCAGTGTATTTAAAAGTAAATATGTATTATGTGTAGATAGTATAAATCTGTATGATAAATACAGACAGACTACAGTTAGCTAATTATACTTACACTATCTTTCTTCTTGAAGACTTCGTCCCAATCAATTTTAACTCTCTGTGACTCATCATCGGTATCACTGTTATCACTGGATAAAAGAGGATCGTGAAATTTGTTTCGCAGGATCCTTTCTATTACACAATTGTCTATATCTTTCTCGGTTACAAAGTGTATGTCAGGTTTTGATGAGCACCTGGAAGATAAAGGCCGCATTGGCAGAATCATAATACCATCTATATTTTTCAAATAGCAAAAAGGTCACTTAACTGACATTCATATTATGAATTGCTATCAATTCATATAACGCAATTCATCTATTTGACATTGTTCTATCGCAATGCGTAAACTGGTCCAAATAATAGGAATTGCTTTTATGTCAAACAGCAGAATCGTAAGAAGTTACTCGAGAGCAACATTTTACAATTAATTTTGCTATATTATTTAGAAAATTAATCAAAAATTGCTGATTTAGGACTATATGAAGACTTTTTAGAGCGCGCGTGTGTCATGGAACGACTATTATACCGTCGCATAAGTGCTACTCTTCGAATAATGGAACTTTCGTTCGAATTCCCGGACTTCGAATTTAACGGGCTTTTTAGGCCAAATAAAAGTTTGTGCCGTGAACCATATAGGACTTTGAGCCTTATTTGTCCGCGCGAGAGGTGGAAAAAGTATAACTATCAAAGTAAGTGAAAGAATCATTACTACCTAAGGTATATTTATTACACTCATGTAATTCCATTTATGATTAACTGTTTTGTATAAGGTTCCTATTAAGTGCATTGAGTTTTTAAGCATCTGGGTTCATTCGAGCTAGTGCAGGTATACCACAAAATGCACCAAGTCCATATCTCCAAATGCATGTGAGCTGTAACAGTGGCCTTCAACAATGACCATTATAAGAGAAAGTATATCAATTGTCCACGAACTCAGGAAGAACATAATGTTATAAAGGGTACCTAATATTAAGTCAGTCTTAAGTAATCAATGGTAATCATTTATAAATACAATGGTTTTTGTATTAAGTATAACACTTATTTCTTCAGATTCTACCAAAAATTTAGTATGCCTAAGGAAGTAATAAGAATAAGGCAGACCTACAAAATATGAAAACATCAATTCTATAATAGGAAAAGATACCATTCTCTTATTGCTACAATAGTTTGTATCTACCTACCCAAGCAATTTTACATTTATCTATTATTAGTTTCTTTTATTTTTATGTGCACTTAGATAATTCCTTTTCAAACACTTATGTTGAAATAAAACCAATTTTAAGGTCAAACTAGTATTTTAATAATAAAAAAATAACATTTTTTTTACTGATATTTTGATTATTTGTGTGGCACCATCATCTGCTCAATTCCCATCTTGAAGCACTTCACCAAACTGAACCTGAGCCCAGAAAGCCCAACAACCTCCTGTCAGCTTCAGACAGAGAGCTTCCACGAGGAGGTTCTCTAATCACTGGCATTAGCATTTATGTCAGCAGCATTTTTTAAATTTGCTTTTGTAGTTGTTGACGTAGTTACTGAAACAAATGTTCATTTATTACAACCTTCATGTTATTATTATTATTATTAGGGTGGCTTTATTCAGGGCCTATGCATCCCCTCATCACTGCGACCATTGACTGATTAATTACAGTGCAGAGCCAAGGCCGACAGCATTACAAAACTGAAGGACTTTCCTGGCTCTGACAGATTTAATGTCCTCTGGAACTTCGTATGCCCATCAGGGGGTAGCATTGGGTGAGTAGATGAACAGGAGTTTCATCCTCCGTGTGGCAGAATCTACATTCTCTATTTTCTCAGTCCAATATTTGACATGTGCTTGTTTAAGCCACAATGCCCTGTTAAGGCTCTATTGAGCATATGCCATTCCTGTCCAATGACAGAGCTTCACTACAGTGTTTGGCACCATAGGCAGATATCAGGGCTTTTGAATGCTCAAGACCCTTGTTAACCTCCATGTTACTTTTACAATTAAATATTCCTGTATAGTACTTACAATGGATCATTCCTTTGGTGTATTGCTGGTGCCACATCCCTAAGAATTTATCAAGTTTGCCATTACTTGCCAAAGGCCGACACTGAGCCCTAGCTAGGTTGTGGTTGCGCTCCATGTCAAGCAGAAAGGTCCACAGACCATCAGATACTCTTGAACATATCTCCATATCTAAAAATATGAAATTAATTATTAGAATGATAGCATATCGCTTTGAAAATAAATGAAAAGAACTTCAATTATATCACTTACTTGTTTTATTTTCACAAAGTAATTGATTTGATGATTATAACAACACAACACTTTGTAAACTGATCCAATCAAGTCTATGTGAATCATAAGTGGAAGCTTTGTTGTTGATCACAAAAACACATTTTAAACATTATATAAACCACTTCAAATGAATTAGGAACATTATTTGAGATTGTTTGTTGTTGACGTTGACAATTTCTAACTTATTGCCAGCCAAATCATTGATAATTTATAAAATTCTTGGTTTCTTGGTAATTTTATCTTTTTATGTACCTAGTTGTTTTATCGATGAATATACTTATTTACACTAAATTCTCGTAATAAACCATTTATGAATGTTATAAAATCAAAAATAAAAGAATCAGTAAAGTTACGGGTTTGCTTTTTTGAATTAAATTGGATATAATTCATCGGAATTCGGGACCATTTTACGAAAATAAGTGGAATTGCTACAGAATTGCAAGGAATTGTAAATTAATTTACTTTTACGGCACTGCCACTGCGCCCGTTACCCAGAGTTTTAACCTGACAAGTCTCATGTGCCTGTAATTTCCCTTCAAAATTGGAATGCAGTAATGTGATCATTATTGCTTAGCGGCAGAAATAGGTAAGGTGACAGTACATCCCTGGATTAACAGGAGTTAAGGATCACAAGGAGCTCTACTGCTACTAATATAAATCAAGTCATGATCCACATGGAAAATTTGTCATGCAGCATGGTCATGATTTAAAATAATGTAAACAAATATGTAAACTTTCTTAAAACATAAATTAAAAAAAAATTGTGTACCTCCTGCGACTGATTAGATACAGGCAGAATTTTTCAAGAGAAACTAAAAAATAAAACTTTCATAGAACCTCTTTTCTATAGTAAGTTAGGGCAATTTTTCCATAACATTCTGTAGTAAGCTACTGTCTATAAGTTAATGTTCTTTTAGTACACATGCGATTAATAATTCATATAAAGGCTCGTTTTTTACTGCAAGCTATGAAATACGAAAATAATTCCGAAGCGTAGTTCTTACCTGAGCCTGTTTCATATGAAGCATAAAAAGAAAATATAATTTCATATAATTTCTACAAAAATGTTTTCGTACATTAGCAGTTGTGCTTTTCAGGTTATGTTTAAAGTACAATGGAATAACAGATGAAAAGAAAATATAAAATTGGAAATCTATAAGTAGTTGTAACCTAACTTGTTGTAAAGCGTTAATTGCGATTCAATAATAATCCATAAAAACATACCAATCATGTTGCCGAATGTGTTCCATTGTTTCCGCAAATATTTACGTTAACAGAATTAAACAGCGTTGAGTGTGCAGTTAAAGTTAACATCGAGATAATATCACATTTTATTAACTAATCAATCACACATTTAAGGTGTCACAACACAATTGTATAATAAATCTCTCTATAAAAATCTAATGCGGCATCCCAATAATACGACCCCTACGACCAAATTTTTGTTTTGACTTTGTATGTTTATTTTATAGGCCATGGATTACTGGCAGTTTTGGATGCATGCTACGGATACTGTTTTTTTGGCATTCCAGATATTTTTCCAATATTTTTTTCCTATACTTTTCCACATTTGACGTTGACATCTGTCAAAAGTTAAGTTACTGAACGAAAGTGATGTAGTCATTACAAAAGTTATTTTGCTGTTATCCTATCATTTTATATCTTGTTTTTCTCTAACTTGCTTTTAGCTGTACAATTTTATTTTTTAATTCAAGTTAAATAAATCTTTAAAAGATGTTTCTAAACGAAGAACATAATATTATAAGTGTTCGAGTTATCTTATATCTTCTCTCTAATAAAAAAATACCTTGGAGGATGGAAAAAAATAAAAATACAGAAAAATGTCTAGGAAAACTATTAACTCAATGGTTTTTTCTTTCGACTGTGACATTGGCAAAATCATCATTTCAAGATTTCATGTATTGATGGTGCCATAAAAAAAATGAAGTGAAGGCAAAATATTCGGAAAAATATTTATTTTTCTAAAAAATAAGAATTTTTCAAAATAGAAATTTCTCATTAACCCAACATTACACTTTTCATTTTTGATATACAAATAATTAGTTTCCTAGGTTAATTTTTAAAGTAAATATTATGAAAGAAGAAATTAAATTGTAGGTAACAATTAGTTTCTGAAACTTTCGAATAAATTCAGGCAGTTGTCGGCCGCGGAAACAGTCAAACAATAAGTTAAGATAAAAAAAAGTATATAAGTTATATGAACATAAATTATTAACAATTTTGCCGGTACTTATGGAGTTTTTTTAACAAGCTTTAGAAGTAAGACGATGGGAAGTCCGCACTGATCTTTTACACGTAGATACATATATAATTGGGTGTCCGCGTCAAACCACGTCGCAGCCATAGCTTTCACACTTATTTTAGCATAAAAACCGGTCCACTGAACATAGAAACAATAAATTACGAAACATATTTTGTTCTCCCGCCAAGTAACAGTAACGTCTCCGACATCAGTTCCTGATTTTTCCCAAACAACGATATTTGCAAAGAAAACAAGCTACAAATGTGATTATAAAATAGTAATGCCACAATAAACTATGAACTCTGTAATAGATATCAAAAACATTGAGTAAACTTCTATTAAGTAAACATTAGAAATCAACTTGTCTTGTTTGGTGCGTAAAACAAAAAATAGATACCTATATATAGGCCCTAATTTATTTTTACAAAATTTGTTTTTAAATTTTCACTAGCCATACCGAAGGTTTTTGGTCAAATATCTACAAATGGCTATGAATTTCAGATCAAGACTAAAATTTACCAATAAAAATTGTATTTACTAATAACTGTACTGGAAAAATTTACAAAATAAAATAAAAATACACAGTGATAGGTAATTCGCTACAAAACCTGGCGGGTTTTTACAGTTACAGATTTTACACAAACTAATTTTAGTTCTAGTTTTATTACGTGTTGAGTTTCTTAATTATTTGTTACCTGTTAAAGCTGATGGCTCTATATGCAATGCTCAATTAATAATGGCACAATTGCAATTTATTTTTGAGTTGAGCTTTTATAATTAAGTTACCTACAATTTTATGAGATTGATAGCCAACAGTTAGTTCAGAACTAATTTCCCCGCTAAGGGTCTTTTCATTTTTGAAATAATATAGACATTTTAAGCAAGATAATGAAATTTATAATAGTTAATGGACTCGGGCGTTACTTTGCGGAAGTTCATGTTAATATAAATGGAAGTAAATTTATTTGCTACTCCGCGAACCTAGTGAAGGTTAAATCGTGCAAAATAGATGAGATTTTGTGGTGTTTGTGACTGTAGTTGCGCTTATGTTATTTATTTTATACAGATGAAGGGTGGACTTCATGAAAAAATATTCAACACAAGCGCAGCTATTTTGCACGATTTTAACCTTCACTGGGTTCGCGGAGTAGCATAATTTGCTATATTTACTTCCATTTTTATTTAAAATTTTTTAAGCCTTAATCGTAATTTGTAACAATGAATATTAACACTTTGTGTCACAAGGGCGGTAAGTAGGTAATTATAAACAGAGGGACAAATTCAAAGCTCGAGCTGAAGGCGAGAGATTTAATGGCTCAAACGTTTGTAATAACTGTACCGTGTGGCATACAATGTTTTGCATCACGCTTGCGAGGTTGTTAAAATAAAAGGAAAAATAGACTTAAAACGTTATAGTTTATTCGTATTATATTTACAAAGATTTAGTTAGTATTTCAGACACAAAATCTTATATAAAAAATAACACTTATTATTAAGTTTTTTTAAGCATTAAAAATGTTTGCTTTGACTTTACATGAATAAATAAGAGTAGTGACACGCGACTTTTAGCAATTTATAGACGGGTGCATCGATGTAACCGCGCGATTGCATCGATGCAATCGCCTATAAAGCCCAGGTGTAGCGATGCAATCGCGAATTTGGTTTGTATCGATGCAGTCGCGCGCTTGCATCGCGTTTGCATCGCGTTTGAATTTCTTCTTCTGCATTTTTATATGTATATGCCATGGTATCTAGAAGTCTATCTTATAAAAATGATAAATGAATTGAAACCGACTTAAAGGTCATAGAGCCACTGAATATTATTAGTATTTATAAATTTGGAACGATCTACCTCCGCCTGTACGGACGGCTGTGTATCAAGCACTACATGAGCACTACCAATGTTCAAACGAAAATGTTTTCTGTGTCTGTTTGAAAAGCAATCTCGGGACGTAGGCTTTGCGCAATAGCTGTTTGGCTGTTTGTGTATCTGTGTATATTTGGTTAGTGCAATTTAAATTTACTGTTATTGTTGTTATTATTAAATTTGATTATTTTCATGTGTGAATGTTGTATCTGTCAAATTTAATTTAATTTATTAAGTGTCTGATTGTGTTAGTATTTTCATTAACCGACTTTAAAAAAAGGAGGAGGTTCTCAATTCGAGTTTTTTTTTTATAAAATATAAGTGCGCATTTGACCTCCATCTCACCTGATGGAAAGTGACGGTGAGGTCGACGATGGAGCATGCACACCGAAATAATGCCTATTCATTCTCGCCTTGAAAAGACCCAAGTTATAACGTTCAGGGAACAAGTCTGCAGGCAGGGAATTCCACTCCATAGCCGTTCGCCATATAAATGTGGAAGCGTAACGCTTCGTGCGAATCTTTTGAATATCCATAACATAGGGGTGGAACCCAAGCCTACGCCTAGTCCCTCGGTGATGGAAAGGGGAAGGCGGAATTAAATCGTGTAATTCCATCGCACACTCTCCGTGATATATCCTGTAAAATACCGATATGCAGGCAACTTTACGGCGGTGTTACTAATTCCGAGTCACCTATAAGCCACGGTTGTCAATTGACATTGGCACGGTTGTCAATTGAATCCAAAGTGGCCAGTGATATGTAGCAGAGCCATCCCAAAGGTGGCATCGGACTTGTGCTGGGTACAGCTGAAGTAACTGTCCCGGTGTAAAGTAACGCCTCATCCTGGAAAGGATCCCAAGCTTCCTTGCTGCATATTTGGCCATGGATTCAATGTATCTGCCGAAGTTCATATTGGACGACAAATCCATTCCAAGTAGTTGGAAACAATCGGCTATCGGTATGGATATATCACGAAAAGTCGAAGTCAGCTCAAAGGGACTCCGTTTTGTGGAGAATAGACACGCCTGCGTTTTAGTAGCGTTAAATTTGACAATATTGTCATTGCCCCAATCGAAGACTGCCTGGAGTGTCAATCTAAACGGCTAACCATGGACTCTCGGCAAGACTGGATTTTCTCTCCACTGACCCTTGCATTGGTCAAGTACCTATCTTCAACTGTGTTATCATCAGCATACGCAAAGGCACCTGGAATTAACATATCATTGATATGCAGCAGAAAGAGAGTTGCAAACCGTACGAAACCGTTTGTTGCCACAAATAAATGAAAAAAAAAAAAAAGAAACCCTGAGGAATCTATCGCCATATGTTCGGAAGAGTAGCCTTCTAAGACCACTCGAATCGAACGTTCGATCAAGAAATCTGAAAAACAATTGCAAAGGTCAGTGGGAAGTCCATAAGAGGGAAGCTTACTTAAAAGGTTTTGCGTAACAGACCCTGTCAAAGGCTTTAGAAATATCCAAAGACACTGCAAGTGCTTCACTCTGCTTTTCTATAGCGTCGCTCCATATGTGACAAGCATACACAAGAAGATTGATCCCAGTTGATCACCCTCGTCAGAATCCGTACTGGCGATCACTGAGGAGGTCGTTGTCTTCAAGGTACGACAAGAGACGGTTGTTGAGTACACGTTTCATAGTCTTGCAGAGTATGAAAGTGACTGAGATAGGTCTATAGTTGACAGGGTCAGCTCTACTTACCTTTTTGGCACAGGTTGCACGTTTGCAAGCTTCCACGACCTGGGAACTACACCAGTCTCAAGTGAGAGGCGGTACAGGCGTAGGCGTCTTAGAACAGGAGACAACTCAGGCGCACAGTTACGCAGGACTATTGCTGGAATTCCATCTGGCCCGCTAGCTTTATTCACGGCTAGATTTCGCAGAGTCCTAAGTATATCATTTCGGCGTATGCGAACTGGCGCCATAGTGCAGCAGCCAGTCTGAGGTAAAGTAGGTGGTAGGTTCCCTACGGCATCCAGACCCGAACTCTTTGCAAAGAGTGAGGCAAAGAGATTCGCCTTCTCTTCCGCAGTAAGAGCCAGCGAGCCATCCGACCTCAGCAGAGGTGGCAAAGATTGGCGACAAAAGTTATATTCGACCGTTTTGTATAGGGACCAAAAGGATTTGCTGCCCGCTGGATAAGAGGCAAGCTTGGCCCCTATGCGGCGTACAGGTCGAACTTGACCCTACGTAACATGCTTTTGCACTTCTTGGCGGCCTTATTAAAAGCTTTCTTCAAATTCTGAGTACTCGGAGCTTTGCTTAGTCGAGCATGTGCCCTACCCTGACACGCGGACTGTTTATGTGCTTCAGCACAACTACAATCAGCGTTAA